GGGGCACATGGAAGCCACTGTGGATGTGTGGACCAACACTGACTGGCAGCACTGTAGGAATCGTTGGATTTGGAAGAATAGGTCAGTAGTCTAGTCCTATTACTCTCAAATTTTCCAATGATGTATAAATATCAAACTAAATGTCCCAATTAATTTCTTTATTTACAGTGTTGAAAAAAGAAACAGTGTAAAAGGAGTGCTCAATAGCTTTCATTTGAAATGGTCATGCACTGTATGGTTTCATCATTCTGAAGGTTTTAAAGTTAGAACCACTATGTACTCTTCAGCAGCATTTATTTAAATGCTCATAATAAATAGCACTGTCAGTAGCCTGGAAACAGGATCCCCTAGAAGARCATGGGGTATATATAAAAGTAGCCTACATGTGTATGTGCTGGGGTGAATCTTGGGGCGGGGGTTCGAAGGGGGGGGGGTCGATTGAACCCCCTAAATAAAAAAAAAATGAGACATTATCACACGCTGACTTGGCCTCAGAATGCTGGAACTCACATTTTGGAGGACCTCAATTTTAAAATTTTTATGGGGGAGGATTTTCTTGGATCCCCCAACAGAGGACAGCCTTGTGTGAACCAGCTGAGCATGTTTCTTCTTAGACAAGCTTGGCTTGCTCTATAAAGCAATTTTTGCTCTCACTCTAATCCCACTAGGGGTACGTGTATGTGCCCCTTGTACTTTTTGATTCAACGGATAATTAAAAGAAACATCTTTTGCTTCCAGCAAATTGTTGTTCAAAAATTTCTTGACTGGTGATTTCTGTACCTGCTTGGCATCATTGTCTAATATGCTATTTATAGTTTGCCATGCACTGCAACAATGTTAAATTTTGTTCCCTTTAGGCATAGCTGTTGCACAAAGACTAGCTCCATTTGGTGTTGCGAGGTTTCTTTATTGTGATGTCCACAAGAAATCAGAGAGCGGTATGACTGAAATTGCTTCCAATGGTCTACAAGATGTACATTAAGTAACAATATTGTGACAATTTATTGGCAGCTGCTCAAAATCTACAGGTTATCCACTAAACAACTAATAACAAAAACATTCAAGATCTCCATATTAATTTTGCCGTAGTGTTAGAACAACGCCATAAGCATTGTTATGCCTTAAAACTACAGTATTGTGTTGACATAAGAGGATTTTTATCTTTAGTTACTGCACCTTTCAATAACATGCTGACTCGAAAATTCTAAGCCCAACCAACAAATGTTTTTTCCCTACTGTAAATCAAATGTTTGGTGGCTACTCCCAGCTTCTGACCACTGTGGAGCACTGTGAATCTTCCAACACATCTGTCATGTTGTCTGAACTGTGCTCAACGATTTGTTTACCATGCGCTCGACAGTAATTAATGGAAGCTGGTAGGAGCCGCCAAACATTTCATTGACGCTAGCAAAAAATGCATTTGTCAGTTGAGCTTCGAATTTTAGAGTCCGCATGTTATAGAAAGGCGCGGTAATTGGTTTGAAGATGCTTAACTGAAAATAGACTGAAACTTATTCTGTGGGTAATTATGCTTACTGGACCTCGCTCACTCTCTCAAAACACATCTCTCGTTCATTCAACAAGGAATTGCCTTACTACTTCTAGAGACTTCTTTACTACTGCTTACGTTTCATAACTTATGATATTTGGAATTTACATTGGGCAAACTTCATTTGTAATAAATGATCAAATGCAGTTTTCAAAAATATTATATTTAAAACTAAAAATAAACCTAAGAACTGTTCTACAACTGCGAATACCTCCTTATTTATTTCTGACTTTTTAAGTCGTAAACCTGACTCTGATTGTTGTGTTTGAATTTCATTTCAGAGGAAAAGTTGGTATCACCAAGGGCGGAGCATGGTAAGCTTTTCAATGTGAACTCCATATTCAAAATGGTGCAGACTAAACTGTTTTGTCAAATTATGCTAACCTTTAATCTTTCTTTATACATGGTGAAAATTCAGCAGGATTTACAAATACAATGACTATAATTTATATCTAGACTAAAACTAATCTTATCATTACAATTGATTTAATATATACTTAAAAATTATTTACTAATAGCAAACTCGTTTTCCATGAATGCCGTGTATCTACAAATATAATTTGCAAACGATATTTGCAGACCGGTGACGTTGTGGGTAATTTTATGTCTAAACCATAGGTTGAGAAGGGTTTAAAGATGAGGAAGTGGTTGTTGTTTTATTATTTTCATTCATTTGTTTACCAGTCAATCAAATTACGTTATTTTGGTGTCTAGACCACAGACCGCTGGGAACGTGAGATAAAGGAATGCCACGTTTAATCCAATGTATTTCATTGGTGTCTGTTTCATGAGCGTGCTATTTTTATCTTTCAGTTGATAAGGATACGTTGTTCAAGGAGTCTGACTTTGTGAGTGCTCACACTGCTCTAACACCAGAAACAGCAGGTAAGATAGTGCGTTATTACGAGCTCATATCTTCTTGAAATTCACATCCAAAATGTGACAGACGTACATCTTCTCCGTTATTGTGGTGTATTTGTCTATTCATCTTTTAAAAGCTGGGTGTAGTCCAACAAGACTGTTACTCGATGTCTGAAACAAAACTGCTGAATACATAAACCACAGAATCGACGCGTTAAGTCCCGACTCCTAAGTAATGGACAACTTACATCCCTTCTGGCATGGTTACAGCCCCATCACCAGTTAATAGAAGCTTTAGAGCGGTTTTCATTTGAGGGTTGAAAAGTAATTGGTTTTGCATTACTACACTACACGATTGGCTTAAAAAACTCGCGCCACTTTTTCATCCAATCAGAAGTAAAACTTAAACCACTAGCAACTTGCTCGCACACGTTTTCCCGCGCTTCGCGTCAGCTACACGTATTTACGATGGGGTTTGATTGGTTCATTGACTTGTCTGTGTCCTTTGTGACTGCCAAGAGTGATTGCTTTTGTTTTGGTTTTACGACACTCAGTATTGAAAAGTGCTCTTAAGTATACTGCATTTTTGGCGGGAAAATGACTGGCAGCGACAAAGATTACTTGGTATATCGTGCCAGGGAGTGGTGTCGCATACAAGGCATAAGGCAATTGTTTGTGGTAAAGTGAACTCAATCGTGTTTTGGTTTGGACGCAATGTTTTTTTTTTTTTTTTTTTTTTTTCACATATAGGAATGTTCAACAAGGATGCTTTCTCCAAGATGAAGAGTAATGCAGTATTTGTTAATACCAGCAGGTAAACTTCCACCAATTTCTTCACCAGTATGGTTAAATCGATGTCCAGTTATGTTCTATTCTTTTACGTTTACAAAGTAGACATGTTTTACACGAGACACCACTTGATGAAATCTCCTGTTTCCTTTTACCAGGGGTGGAGTTGTAAATCAAGATGACTTGTACGAAGCTCTCAAGACTGGCCAGATATGGGTAAGATGGTGTCGGCCAAGATAAACTCGAACAATGAAAGAATATCGTCCCTGAGAATCGGTTACATTCACTATTTTCATCAGAGGCTGCTACGCAATGGTAACGTTTGTAAAACCTCTCATGAAGGCTCTCTTGCCTCTGTATTCCTCTTTAGCTTTGTGCGTTATTGCCCAGTTCAGATCATGAAAACTGCTCCTCTATATGTTTGGAAATAAAGCACTCATCTGCCCGTAAAAATGGTGAAATTCGACTGAAAATAGTGGCAAGTGTGGCATTGCATGATCTCAAATGCATCAACAAGCTACAACGTTAAACACGTCCATCATTTTTTGCAACAAGAGTAAACAGCAACTGCAAAGTTATTGCCATATTTTGAAATACAAAAGAAACAGAGCCAAGAAAAGTGAGCTAAAATAACTAAATCGCTAACCCAGCTTTGTTTCTGTGTGGCCAGGATCTGTTTTTTTTTCTCCATGTCATTGATTTGTTTTTGTTTTTCTGTTTGTTTTTCTTCAGGGGGCTGGTCTGGACGTGACAGTACCAGAGCCTCTTCCAACCGATCACCCGCTTTTATCTTTGAAGAACTGCGGTAAGATCCAGGTTCTTTTGTAAAGCAACTTGATTACTATAATAGTCACAATTGGTCGTTCAGCTAACTTTCGAGAATCTTCGTCATATCTTTGGGTAACTTTGGGATCATCGAGTATCTTTGGGTAATCTTCAGGAGGTCGTTAGGAGTGTACCTACGTAGGAACTTTGCACTTTATTCATTTTTGGGGCTCACGTGACATAAAGGCTGGACCACGCGTGTATTATTACTGTAATGAAAATATGAAAAGTGAAAAACTAACAATTTTTTTGTTTCTGTTTTCTTATTTACTTTAGTCGTTCTTCCTCACATTGGCAGTGCAGAGGATTCTACCAGGGAAGCTATGGCTACTTTAGCTGCAAGAAATCTCCTGGCAGGATTGGCGGGTGAAAGCTTACCAGCTCAAGCTAAGCTGTAAAACTTTATTTCCTGACCAACCTAATTCTAAAGAGAACGCGAAATTCAATTGTAACGGGAATCAATTTGAAGAAGTTTTTGGAAGTGTTAGGCAATCAAACTGGAGTCATAATATTTTTGTATCTTATATTCTAAGAAAACAATCAATCTATTTAGTTTAGGAAACGGCCGCAAAGCGTGCATGATGCCGTGGGCTTTTGAGTCATAGAGCACGAGGGTGTTGTCAGAGTGATGTGTATTTAAATAGAATAGATAAAGATAAGTTAAGGGTAGTGTGGTTTATATGAGCAGCTATTATTTGATTGGTTTACGCGATGGGAGATATATAACAGGTAGGTAATAACTACAGTTAACTGACTTGCAAGATATGAAGGTTGCACGTTATTTACGTACTTCCTTGCATTTTTGTATTGAATTGTCCAGTGACATGAAATATAAACGATATGTCAACCTTCTCAACCTTTATTATATGGCTGTGTATCACAAGGACTGGGAACTACCGAATTCACGAATTTGATTGGCTGAAATCGATATTGACCGCGGTCTAGATTTTCCCATCTAGACCGGTATCTAGACCGG